AAAAAGCATGCTACAGCCTAGGTCGCTGCACCAAAAAGCATGCTACAGCCTAGGTCGCTGCACCAAAATGCATGCTACAGCCTAGGTCGCTGCACCACAAAGCATGCTACAGCCTAGGTCGCTGCACCAAAAAGCATGCTACAGCCTAGGTCGCTGCACCAAAAAGCATGCTACAGCCTAGGTCGCTGCACCAAAAAGCATGCTACAGCCTAGGTCGCTGCACCACAAAGCATGCTACAGCCTAGGTCGCTGCACCACAAAGCATGCTACAGCCTAGGTCGCTGCACCACAAAGCATGCTACAGCCTAGGTCGCTGCACCACAAAGCATGCTACAGCCTAGGTCGCTGCACCACAAAGCATGCTACAGCCTAGGTCGCTGCACCAAAAAGCATGCTACAGCCTAGGTCGCTGCACCAAAAAGCATGCTACAGCCTAGGTCGCTGCACCAAAACGCATGCTACAGCCTAGGTCGCTGCACCACAAAGCATGCTACAGCCTAGGTCGCTGCACCACAAAGCATGCTACAGCCTAGGTCGCTGCACCACAAAGCATGCTACAGCCTAGGTCGCTGCACCAAAAAGCATGCTACAGCCTAGGTCGCTGCACCAAAAAGCATGCTACAGCCTAGGTCGCTGCACCAAAAAGCATGCTACAGCCTAGGTCGCTGCACCAAAACGCATGCTACAGCCTAGGTCGCTGCACCACAAAGCATGCTACAGCCTAGGTCGCTGCACCACAAAGCATGCTACAGCCTAGGTCGCTGCACCACAAAGCATGCTACAGCCTAGGTCGCTGCACCACAAAGCATGCTACAGCCTAGGTCGCTGCACCACAAAGCATGCTACAGCCTAGGTCGCTGCACCAAAACGCATGCTACAGCCTAGGTCGCTGCACCAAAAAGCATGCTACAGCCTAGGTCGCTGCACCAAAAAGCATGCTATAGCCTAGGTCGCTGCACCAAAACGCATGCTACAGCCTAGGTCGCTGCACCAAAAAGCATGCTACAGCCTAGGTCGCTGCACCAAAAAGCATGCTACAGCCTAGGTCGCTGCACCAAAACGCATGCTACAGCCTAGGTCGCTGCACCACAAAGCATGCTACAGCCTAGGTCGCTGCACCAAAAAGCATGCTACAGCCTAGGTCGCTGCACCAAAAAGCATGCTAGAGCCTAGGTTGCTGCACCAAAAAGCATGCTACAGCCTAGGTCGCTGCACCACAAAGCATGCTACAGCCTAGGTCGCTGCACCAAAAAGCATGCTACAGCCTAGGTCGCTGCACCAAAAAGCATGCTACAGCCTAGGTCGCTGCACCAAAAAGCATGCTACAGCCTAGGTCGCTGCACCACAAAGCATGCTACAGCCTAGGTCGCTGCACCACAAAGCATGCTACAGCCTAGGTCGCTGCACCACAAAGCATGCTACAGCCTAGGTCGCTGCACCACAAAGCATGCTACAGCCTAGGTCGCTGCACCACAAAGCATGCTACAGCCTAGGTCGCTGCACCAAAAAGCATGCTACAGCCTAGGTCGCTGCACCAAAAAGCATGCTACAGCCTAGGTCGCTGCACCAAAACGCATGCTACAGCCTAGGTCGCTGCACCACAAAGCATGCTACAGCCTAGGTCGCTGCACCAAAAAGCATGCTACAGCCTAGGTCGCTGCACCAAAAAGCATGCTATAGCCTAGGTCGCTGCACCAAAATGCATGCTACAGCCTAGGTCGCTGCACCACAAAGCATGCTACAGCCTAGGTCGCTGCACCAAAAAGCATGCTACAGCCTAGGTCGCTGCACCAAAAAGCATGCTACAGCCTAGGTCGCTGCACCAAAATGCATGCTACAGCCTAGGTCGCTGCACCACAAAGCATGCTACAGCCTAGGTCGCTGCACCAAAAAGCATGCTACAGCCTAGGTCGCTGCACCACAAAGCATGCTACAGCCTAGGTCGCTGCACCACAAAGCATGCTACAGCCTAGGTCGCTGCACCAAAAAGCATGCTACAGCCTAGGTCGCTGCACCAAAACGCATGCTACAGCCTAGGTCGCTGCACCAAAAAGCATGCTACAGCCTAGGTCGCTGCACCAAAAAGCATGCTACAGCCTAGGTCGCTGCACCAAAACGCATGCTACAGCCTAGGTCGCTGCACCACAAAGCATGCTACAGCCTAGGTCGCTGCACCAAAAAGCATGCTACAGCCTAGGTCGCTGCACCAAAAAGCATGCTACAGCCTAGGTCGCTGCACCAAAAAGCATGCTACAGCCTAGGTCGCTGCACCAAAATGCATGCTACAGCCTAGGTCGCTGCACCACAAAGCATGCTACAGCCTAGGTCGCTGCACCAAAAAGCATGCTACAGCCTAGGTCGCTGCACCAAAAAGCATGCTACAGCCTAGGTCGCTGCACCAAAAAGCATGCTACAGCCTAGGTCGCTGCACCACAAAGCATGCTACAGCCTAGGTCGCTGCACCACAAAGCATGCTACAGCCTAGGTCGCTGCACCACAAAGCATGCTACAGCCTAGGTCGCTGCACCACAAAGCATGCTACAGCCTAGGTCGCTGCACCACAAAGCATGCTACAGCCTAGGTCGCTGCACCAAAAAGCATGCTACAGCCTAGGTCGCTGCACCAAAAAGCATGCTACAGCCTAGGTCGCTGCACCAAAACGCATGCTACAGCCTAGGTCGCTGCACCACAAAGCATGCTACAGCCTAGGTCGCTGCACCAAAAAGCATGCTACAGCCTAGGTCGCTGCACCAAAAAGCATGCTATAGCCTAGGTCGCTGCACCAAAATGCATGCTACAGCCTAGGTCGCTGCACCACAAAGCATGCTACAGCCTAGGTCGCTGCACCAAAAAGCATGCTACAGCCTAGGTCGCTGCACCAAAAAGCATGCTACAGCCTAGGTCGCTGCACCAAAATGCATGCTACAGCCTAGGTCGCTGCACCACAAAGCATGCTACAGCCTAGGTCGCTGCACCAAAAAGCATGCTACAGCCTAGGTCGCTGCACCACAAAGCATGCTACAGCCTAGGTCGCTGCACCACAAAGCATGCTACAGCCTAGGTCGCTGCACCAAAAAGCATGCTACAGCCTAGGTCGCTGCACCAAAACGCATGCTACAGCCTAGGTCGCTGCACCAAAAAGCATGCTACAGCCTAGGTCGCTGCACCAAAAAGCATGCTACAGCCTAGGTCGCTGCACCAAAACGCATGCTACAGCCTAGGTCGCTGCACCACAAAGCATGCTACAGCCTAGGTCGCTGCACCAAAAAGCATGCTACAGCCTAGGTCGCTGCACCAAAAAGCATGCTACAGCCTAGGTCGCTGCACCAAAAAGCATGCTACAGCCTAGGTCGCTGCACCAAAATGCATGCTACAGCCTAGGTCGCTGCACCACAAAGCATGCTACAGCCTAGGTCGCTGCACCAAAAAGCATGCTACAGCCTAGGTCGCTGCACCAAAAAGCATGCTACAGCCTAGGTCGCTGCACCAAAAAGCATGCTACAGCCTAGGTCGCTGCACCACAAAGCATGCTACAGCCTAGGTCGCTGCACCACAAAGCATGCTACAGCCTAGGTCGCTGCACCACAAAGCATGCTACAGCCTAGGTCGCTGCACCACAAAGCATGCTACAGCCTAGGTCGCTGCACCACAAAGCATGCTACAGCCTAGGTCGCTGCACCAAAAAGCATGCTACAGCCTAGGTCGCTGCACCAAAAAGCATGCTACAGCCTAGGTCGCTGCACCAAAACGCATGCTACAGCCTAGGTCGCTGCACCACAAAGCATGCTACAGCCTAGGTCGCTGCACCAAAAAGCATGCTACAGCCTAGGTCGCTGCACCAAAAAGCATGCTATAGCCTAGGTCGCTGCACCAAAATGCATGCTACAGCCTAGGTCGCTGCACCACAAAGCATGCTACAGCCTAGGTCGCTGCACCAAAAAGCATGCTACAGCCTAGGTCGCTGCACCAAAAAGCATGCTACAGCCTAGGTCGCTGCACCAAAATGCATGCTACAGCCTAGGTCGCTGCACCACAAAGCATGCTACAGCCTAGGTCGCTGCACCAAAAAGCATGCTACAGCCTAGGTCGCTGCACCACAAAGCATGCTACAGCCTAGGTCGCTGCACCACAAAGCATGCTACAGCCTAGGTCGCTGCACCACAAAGCATGCTACAGCCTAGGTCGCTGCACCACAAAGCATGCTACAGCCTAGGTCGCTGCACCACAAAGCATGCTACAGCCCGAGATTACGGCACTCCTTCTCCTCCCCCACCCCCTCGGTCCCTCACTTTTCTTTCCTCCATCCCCCATCCTCCCTTCCCCCATGTGCAAGCCATAGCCCAGCGCAACACAGGCACGCTCATCATTCGGTGCTGTATGCCGCGCACCCACATGCATTAAACGCCACCCCTTGGCCCCTCCCCCACCCCCCCTCATTCATCCCCCAGTCGGTGTAGCGCAAGCACCCACATGCGTTAAACGCCACCCCTTGCCCTTTTCCCCCATCCCCCCTCCCCCATCCCCCCTCATTCATCCCCCAGTCGGTGTAGCACAAGCATCCACATGAGCCAACCTCCATCACCCACCCTCTCCCCCTCCCCACCCCCCCCTCCCCGCAACCCCCCACGAGCAGGCCATAGCGCAGGCCAGCACCACCGCGATCATCTTTCCGTGTTGTGCAAGCACCCCCATCATTCCGTGTTGTGCAAGCACCCCCATCATTCCGTGTTGTGCAAGCACCCCCATCATTACGTGTTGTGCAAGCACCCCCATCATTACGTGTTGTGCAAGCACCCTCATCATTCCGTGTTGTGCAAGCACCCCCATCAGCCATACCCCCCCACTTCTCCCCCCCTCCCCCCCCCCACGAGCAGGCCATAGCCCAGGACAGCACCACCGCGCTCATCATTCGAGACGGTCACTACAGCTTTGTGCAATGAACCCTCATCAGCCACTCCTCCCACAACCCCCCTCCTCCTCTCCCTTCCCTTCCTCTGCAGGCCATAGCGCAGGACAGCACCACGCTCATCATTCGAGACGGTCACTACGGCTTTGACCCGTGCCGAGGGGAGCGCTGCAACTGGCAAAATATGGTGAGCGCTTCTCCTCCTCTCTTCCCCTCTCCTCTCCTCTCCTCTCCTCTCCTCGCCTCTCCTCCTCTCCTATCCTCTCCTCTCCTCTCTTCCCTCTCCTCCCTCTCCTCTCCTCTCCTCTCCTCTCCTCTCCTCTCCTCTTCTCTCCTCTCCTCCCTGTCATCCCCTCTCCTCTCCTCTCCTCTCCTCTCTTCCCCTCCCCCCCCTCTCCTCTCCTCCCTCTCCTCCCTCTCCTCTCCTCTCCTCTACTCTCCTTTTCTCCCTCTCCTCCCCAACCTCTCCTCTCCTTTCCTCTCCTTCCTCCTCTCCCTCTCCTCCCCTCTCCTCCCCTCTTCTCTCCTCTCCTCTCCTCCCTCCACTCCCTCCTCTCTCTCCTCCCTCTCCTCGTTCTCCTCGCTCTCCTCCCTCTCCTCCCTCTCCTCCCTCTCCTCCCCTCTCCTCCCTCTCCTCCCTCTCCTCCCGCTCCTCCCTCTCCTCCTTTCCCTCGTGGCACTCTTTTGAGTCAACTCAAAAAGGTGAGTGTTGCAACCGGCCCAACTCGATGAGTGCCCTCCTCTCCTCCCTACCCTCCTACCTCCTCCCTCTCCTCCCTCTCCCCCACCTCCTCCCTCTCCACCCATGCGTGACAGTGATTTGACTTGACTACATCACGGCGAACGCGTCCGCCATTCTCTTGCGGCCGGAGCTCAGGGGACTAGCAGCCAGCAGCATGTCACAATCCATGTATTCTCTTGCCCCATCCAAAATCCACCCACCCTCTTCCATCCATGACAGCGAGTCGACTACATCATCTCAAACGAGTCCGCCATTCTCTTTCGTCCGGAGCTGAGGGGCCTGGCAGCCAACATGTCGCAATCCATGAATGCGGGGGACTACGATGCCGTGAGAGTGAGGAGGGGAGACAAGCTCAACACTGACATGTGGCCGCATGTGGCAAACGATACGAGCCCTCCTGCGTAAGTTAACTGCTGCACAGTCTTCAATCTGAGTCGACTCAAAAGGGACTGTGACGCTGTGAGGGTGAGGAGGGGAGACAAGCTCAACACCGACGTGTAACCGCACGCGGCAAACGACACGAGCCTTCCCGCGTAAGTCAGCCACTCTTGACTCCAATTCAGCCGTGTTACGACGATAATAAGTTAATGATGAATGCTGCTAATGGTGAGCATTTCTTTAGCTTCTTGGAATGCGTAGCCTGAATTTTCCTCTGAACGGTTTTCTGTTACCTGTCTTTTCCCTGGACTTCGCTCTGTTACAGTCTCCTGGAGAGTCTCCCCCAGTTAAGTTAATGCTGCTGGTGAGAGCACATTCAATGAATGTTTACCAATGCTTTTCTGTTACCTGTCTGTTTGCCTCTTCCATGCACTTTAACAGCCTTTTGGAGAAGCTCCCCCGGTTCGTTGCACCTGGACGCACGCTGTACATCGCGACGAATGAGAAAACGCCCGGGTTCTTCGACCCGTTGAAGGCGGTCTTTGCGATTCGGCAATTTCGGGACTTCGACCACCTCTGGGCGCCTGGGACTCCCTGGTTTGATGGATACGCGCGAATCCTGGGTCCGGATCCCAAGCTCGACCCCTATATGGAGGTGTGTGTGTGTGTGTGTGTGTGGGTGTGTGTGTGTGTTTGTGTGTGTGTGTGTGAGAGAGAGTGTGTGTGTGTGTGTGAGAGAGTGTGTGTGTGTGTGTGTGTGAGAGAGAGAGTGTGTGTGTGTGTGTGTCCTCGTGCATTTATCCTTCATCCTTTCCTTGTTTTACCTGGTGCTCACAGGCCATAGTGGAGTACAAGGTTCTGTTTGCCATGCTTATGTATGTGTGTCCTGGTGTGCCTGACCCTGCAATCTTATACTTATCTGTTCTACCTGGTGCTACAGGCCATTGTGGAGTACAAGGTTCTGTTTGCCGCGAAAACAAAAGTTTTCACGTTCAACAACCTGACGAACGATGCAGAGGATGGAATAAGGCCTTCGGCCCTGAAAAGGCATTGACCGAGCTCACAGACAACAGCATGTTGTTCCAGAGCATTTCCGAGCTGAGTTGATATGCCTACAGTTCGCTAGTGTACCAGTGTGTTATTACGGTAGCTGCAATTGCTGATGGTGTACCCTTCTCTCTTGCCTTGCCTATTTGTACCCTTCTGTTTATAGTGAAATTCCTCCTTTCTCCAATTTTCTCGCCATCCTCCTAACTACTCTCAATCTCCCAAGTCCTAGTCTCATAGGCCAATATTAACACTACTGCCTCTTGTATAGGGTTCTGTGTCTCCCAGTGTAATACGTAATGCATGCTCAATTGTGCATGCTAAGGCCCATACAAGCCCATTTTAATGCAGTAGGGTATTTCTGTATGAGCCAATTATAAATTTGTTATCCTGTACTACCGTACTACAGCCTGATATCGTTCGTAACTGCCACAGCCAAAAGAGCTGGCGTGGCATAATATCTAGTCAAGTCATACCCTGGCAAGATGCACACTACAAAATTAATGAATAAGGAGGCAGTGGTGCTGCAGGGTTGTACCATAACCCTGCTGTTGATGATAACCAGCAAGGATCACTAGGCTAGGCTGCACACAGAATAATTATGAAATGCTCTAACACAAAGAACAGGGCTGTAAGGAAGACGGATTTTTCTAGGTGGACTAATGCATGACAACCACGTTTGGCGTTAGGCATGGTGGAAGGGTGGGAAGCAGGCCCCTAGATTCGTTTTGAGGTAGTCTGAGGCCTCAGAGTACACCCCTCCTGGAACTCTGTCTGTCAGAGGTGCCTCAAAATTTTAGTCTGAAAATTCAGACAAGCACAATTTTTTTTGTCTGAACTGTCAGAGTTACTTCAAATTTTAAGATGTTCATGCAGTTTCGTAAAAGCAGTTATAATAGCATTGAGGCTGATTACAGCCTACCATACCAACGCATCAGGCAACGTGCTCGTGCTCGTGCATCGCCTCTGCTCATGTCGGCAGCGTTCCAGTGTTTTTGTCACGTGCAGCGCATGGTTGTTTCTGCTCTGCTGATCTCATTTCGTTTTGTCGTGTGTGTGATTACCGTTCTGTACCCATTTTCTCGCATGTGTGCCGATTTTGTCAGTTTTGGATTTGCTTTTCAAGCGATTCGATCGTTCACCCGATCTGTATCAGGTGGGCCAAGTGCCACGCAGCTGAGCTGGCAGCAGGCAGATTTGTTGCTTGGCGTGGCATGTGAGGATCAGACAAGTGCCACACGAAACTTTCAGTACGAATCAGGAACTTCGCAATTCACACCAGTGCGTGCTGCAGATGTTTTTACAGCGAATCAGCATCAAAGTCGCCTATTCTTTACAATACATTAGCGATAACTTACATGTGACGAGATTTTGTCTTCAGAAATCTCGTAATCACGCAACCATTTCCTCAGCGAAACTGGAAGATATTCTCGACGAACGAGTGTATTTGGATGTCCCAGCTGTCGAAGTGAGCGTTGCTCACGTCCTGGCACTCCACTGCCATCTCGGAAGTGGGCATATCAGAAGGAAACTTCCAGGAAACTTTCCTCCGATAAGCGCGCAGAGTGTACCCCCGATACAAGTCTGAGGCTCAGCCTACCCTAGTAAAATTAGGCTGAAATTTCAGACAACTCATAAGAAAAAACTCTGGAAAATCAGACAAGGTACATAAATAAATTCTTAGAGTTCAGACTAGGTACAAAAAAAAAGTCTGAACGGACTCTGATTCAGACTCCAAAGTCTGATATCTAGGGCACTGGTGGGAAGCCGGCTTAGGCATGTGGAAGGGCAAACAGAACGCCAGAGGCCTTAACAAAGCTGCTTGGGCGCGGCATCTTGGCAGGATGCGGGGATAGGGTGGCAGATGTGTATGTGGGATGGCAGGGATTGACTGTTGGTTGGCAGGGAGCAAGCGTAGGGCGGCAGGGAGCAAGAGTGGGGCGGCAGGGAGCAAGAGTGGGGCGGCAGGGAGCAAGCGCAGGGCGGCAGGGAGCAAGCGCAGGGCGGCAGGGAGCAAGCGCAGGGCGGCAGGGAGCAAGCGCAGGGCGGCAGGGAGCAAGCGCAGGGCGGCAGGGAGCAAGCGCAGGGCGGCAGGGAGCAAGCGCAGGGCGGCAGGGAGCAAGCGCAGGGCGGCAGGGAGCAAGTGCAGGGTGGCAGGTTCTGAGTCTAGGACGGCAGGTGCCGCGACAGCAGCCCGTCAAAGGCCGTGTACAGGTCCTTGTTGTCGGGGCCAAATATCTCGTCTGCCTTGCGCAGCGTTTCCTGCCATGACAAGCATTTCGGGTGGGAAAAAGTGGGGTGAGAAGGGGGACTTCAGGAGGGCAGGTGTCGCGACAGCAATCCATCAAAGGCTGTGTACATGTCCTTGTTGTCGGGCCCGGATATTTCGTCCGCCTTGCGCAGTGTTTCCTGTCATGACGGGCGTTTCAGGTGGGAGATAGAAGAGGGTTATGAGGAGTTAAAAGGCGGGATGGTGGTGTCGCAACTGCAGACTGTCAAATGCTGAGTAGAGGTCTTTGTTGTCGGGCCCAAGTATCTCGCCTGCCTTGCGCAGCGTTTCCTGCGATAATGGGCGTTTCAGGTGGAAAAATCGTAGGGGAATAGGGGGAGTGCCAGGGGAAAATGAGGGAGTTCCATCCAGCGAAGAAAATAGGCAACTAAGCAGATTGGTATTTTGAGTCGCCTATTTTTTAGGCGCCTCAAAAATAGAAAATAGGCAACTAAGAATTTGGTATTTGCAAATGAAGGGGAGGAGAGGATGGAAGGTGTGGGAGATGAGGAATGGGGAAGAAAAGAAGGAGGTTGCGGAGAGCGCAAGACTAAAGAAGAGCATGAACTTGGAAACCAGAAGTAAGGGGAAGAGGAACGGGAAGGAAAGTGGTTGGAGAGCGTTGGGAGATGAAGTGGGTGGGGTGGGGAGGAGCTAGACAAGGGGGTAAAAGGAGGGAGTGTGTGGGAGAAACGAGGGGCTGTGGGGAAGAAAGGATATGGTGTGGGGAAGAAAGCATATGGTGTGGGGAAGAAAGGATATGGTGTGGGGAAGAAAGGAGGGGGTGTGGTCCGTGTGAGGGAGGAGAGGAGGGGGTGTGGTCCATGTGTGGGAGGAGAGGAGGAGACATGGTGGGAGAGAGGCGCACTTCTCTGGACTGTCTGTGTGCGTTGAGCTCCTTGATATTGGCCAGGAAGGCGCTGAACTGCTCGTATGACAGACGGTTCCTGAGAGACGCGAATGGGGGAGCCAGGGGGGGGGAGGAAGGGAGAAGGGGAGGGTGGAAGAGGGTGAGGAGGTGGAAACAAGGGAAAGAAGCTTGGACTGCTGTTGAGCTGCTTGATGTTGGCCAGGAAGGCGCTGAACTGCTCGTATGACAGACGGTTCCTGAGAGAGGGCGATGGGGGGAGGGAGAAAGCGATGGTGGGGGAGGATGGGGAGGTAATAACAAGGGAAAGAAGCAAACACTTGTATGAAATGAATAACAAGGAATGCAATGAACTGAACTGCTTGCATGGCAAACGGTTCCTGGGAGAGGTGTGGGGATTGTGGTGGTGGAGGGGAGGAAGAGTAGAAAGAAGTGAGAGAGAGGTTGCAGGAAAAATGGCAGACCTCCCATTGTGCTTGTGTGTGCGGGAGGAGAGGGGGGCAGCAGAGAGGAGGACATGGGTGACGAAAGAGAGAGACACCATGCCATTGAGCATGCGACGCTACTTGCTACTTGTAAGTAGCTAGCAATGCTCAATGGCAAGTAGCAATGCTTGCTAATTGCAGAAGGTTTGCATACCAGGAAATGCAGTGAAGTGGACGTCTAACGGTGACTTGACAGAACAACACAGGGCAATGAGGGGGAATGGGCATTACCTTGCTTGTCTGAAGAATTCCTTGCCATCCACTCTTGGTGGCCGACCTGCGAGCAGAGCGGATTTTTTTGGCGTGTATTCTGAGGTGCCTCAAAATACACCTCAATGCTCGCGGATTTTTTTGGCGCTTCAAAATACATCTCAACAAAAGCAATGAAAGGGGGAATGGGCATTACCTTGCTTGTCTGAAGAATTCCTTGCCATCCACTCTTGGTGGCCGACCTGCGAGCAGCGAGTAAAGCACGGGGCACATGCATCAACGGTCGAAGATAAAGATTGTTACGTCGAGCTCTTGAAAAAAAAAGAAAAAGACGGCACACACACATGAACATGCACACGCATGTGGACAGACGCATACACATGCACACGCATGTGGAAAGACGCATACACATGCACACGCATGTGGTGTGGACAGACGCATACACATGCACATACACGGTCATATAGTTTCACAATGACACAATCACACAGGTCCATGAAACATAACTATGTTTTCCTGTGGCGTCTTGACATGCTAGCAATCCATACAGGTACAGTGCACCTTCACATAAACTCACCCAATGTGAGTCGATTTTTTAGTCGACTCAAAATTCGACCATACAGTTACCCAGTGCGCCTTCACATAAACGAGGTGACTTTTGAGTCGACTCAAAAGACGTCTTGACATGCTAGCAATCCATACAGTTACCCAACGCACCTTCACATAAACTCACCCAATGCACGACAACCTAATGCACCTTACCCTATTGCATTGCA